TTTTTCAACGATATTTAGTATTTTTTACGATTTTATATGAATTAAAATATTTAATTATGACTTTTGACTACCTTTTATTTATATTTAAAGGAGGGACAAGAATGGAATGGAAAAATAAGTATGTTTCAAAACAGGAGTGATATGGTCATATTTTGGAATAAAAACATAAGAAGTCTTATTTTTTATTTTTGCCATAATTTTACTCATATTTGAGGTAATTTCTAAAAAAAATTGCGAAAAGCTAATAAAGTAATTTATTGGTCCTATTCAACCCTTTTACTTTGACGTTTTAGATAGCTTTGATTTATAGTCCTTTCACTATAAAGTTGTACCTTCATCCAACTACACAAAGTTAAATCACAATTAGTGCCATATTAATTTCGTCACAGTGCAAAATAACTAGCTAATTGTTATACAGGTATTCTCATCTTTTAAAGTAGAAAATTTAGAGAGTGAAGGAAAACTTGAGAAATGACGCCATACGTTTTTTACTTTGACCGAGAAATAGAGTAGTAGAAGAAGAAAGATCGGAGAGATGAAAGGAGTTATTATGTCACAGAGTCAGTGTTCCAAAAAGCGTAAGACGTGTCGAGGCGGCATGACCGAGCGTCAAGTCTTTCAAGCCTAGGCGGGATTAGACGGAGCCTAGGCGTGAAAAGGCGTTTTAATTTTATCTTAATTTTTCTGCTATTATTTTATATGTATATGTAATATCACATACAAAAATTACATTTATTTATATTTGAGTTCAAATATAATTTTTTAAACCATAAATAATAGGTTTACAAGCTTACTTACAATACAAAAACATGAATTAAAGAAGTTGATTGATAAAATAATAATAATAGCATTATAGCAATAATAATTACAATAATAAGTCAAGATAAAAGTGGGACTTCTTCATACACCATTACACCAACTAATAGTGTAATCAACCTGCAATGAACTCAAGGAACATCCCACATCGATTCCATACAACTGACCGCCTTTTGCATCCCAATATAAAAAACATACGGAGTAAATGGCTTTTTGATACCGCAACGAAGAATTTTCCCACACCGGAAATGTAGATGTATTCCCTCGCCCGTTCTTCTATATATTAAAAGGAGTGTCAATCTCATAGTTTGCTCAGTTCTAGTCACGCTTCGAATAAGGTTGCAATAGGGCGACTCCTCTTAGAAGTCTTAAAGGTCAACAACAAAGTTGACCGCCTTTTGCAACGCATCATGCGATGCGGGGCGTTATCCAGACGCCTCACGCCTATGCCCGCGTAGGCGGCGCCTTTTGGCGCATTTTAGAATACTGCACAGAGTAGTGAAAGTGACGGGATTTCTAATGGGATTTTGACCTAAATATTATTCCTTCCGTCCCATAAAACTTGATCAATGTTGACTTGCACGTAGATTAATAAAGTGAAAACTGTGTGGTTGATATTTGTGCAGAGGAGAGAGAAATAACTTTAGCCACATATTTACTACTTAAAATGGAAATGACAAAGTTTTTTGGGACGTCCAAAAAAGGAAAGTTGGCAAAGTTTTATGGGACGGAGGTAGTACTAAATAGAAGTCAATTTCCATAAATGTGACTACTCTTAGATATTGAAAAAATGTTACTAATAAGGTCATATATTTGGAAAAATGTCACTGCAGGTTTGTTATGTCACTGATTTCTTTGTGTCACTTGAATTTTGTCACTATCAATTTTTTATGTCAGTTTACGTGACTTACGAATGTCACTATCACTGCATTGTGTGTCACTATAATCGGCCGGATAATTTTCCAGCGACTTTTTTCGGCAAATTTATGACCACCAACACCAACGCTCGCCACCCACTGTCACCGCAGTCCCTGTCTCTCCTCGAAGACCGGTAACCCCAACCCCACGCTCCAGCAACCCCCAACCCTAACCCCGCTGCCTTAACCTCTCCGTCAAAATCCCCAACCAGCCCCTGCTCTAGCCGCATCGCCCAGCCCTAGGTAGCTCATGGCTATCCTCGACCATCCATGGCCGTCGTTAGTGGCCCTAGTTCCGCCGAAGCCTCGACAACCCTATCTAGCCGCTCACCACCGCATATCTGGAAGCGAGGATTATGGAAAATCACTCGTTTGACCTCACTCTTCCATCTTGTCATCGATCCATGAAGGAGGATGACAGACGCGGTCGTTCGTACCCCAAAATCAGTTAGAAATAGAAGAAAAAGTGAGGTAGATGGCGATGCAGGTGAACAACGATGTTGGTGAACGGCGAGATTGGCGGCGGAGATAGGGCGGCGCGGCTGTGGCTGTTCCTTCTCGGCGGCGATTTCCAGAGCTCTCCAAACCTAGGTGATAAGGAAGAGATGCAGAGAAAGGAAAGAGGCAGACCTATGCGAAAGAGATGCAGAGATCGTGACTTGACGGGATGATGGGTTTAGGGCCTTGGGCTATGAGTTTGAATCACTTTTTGGTCTAAACAAAATATGATCACATTTATGTCCTTTGAAACCCCACTACTAATATTAGGGCCATTGTTTCATTTCTAATTTAGTAATTGTCCCCCCTAAAACATAATCAAAAATCACTAATACAATCTTAAGTTTTTTATTCCTTAAAATAGGACTATATTAGTACTATGTACATGCATAATCAACTTTGATATTATTAATACCCTTCTTTTAATTAATACCTAAAATCCCTTTCCTTTCATTTACACTCTCTCTTGTGCTCAGGGCTGGTCCCGTCCATTTCTGGGCCTATGGACGGTACGCTATTTTGGGCATATATCCATGACAAATAGTAAACCATATTTGGGCGATGAAGTTTATAAAATAAAGATGAGAATCACATTATTATTATATAAGTTACATATTTGAGCAAAAGTAACAACACGAGTATCAAATAAAAAGAAAAAATATCACTTAAAAACGTTTCTCGTAGACCAATGTGAAGCAAATAATTAATACTTGCTTCATAGGTAATATTCTTTCCACTAATAAATATGACACAATAAAATTGCCACATATAACTACAGTAAACTTTCTTTTGAAAGCATAAACGAAAAGAAATATTACCACATATTGAATTCATAAGTTGAGAATGATTTATTGACCGCTGATGAGAGTCTAAAGTTTGAAGTCTCGAAAGAATGAAAGTTTTCAAAGAGACTGGATGTTTGGCTGTCAAGAGGACTCACGCAAGAAGATTGCAAATTTGACGTCCTCTAAAACTACTATTAGGAACTCAGATATAGCTTATTTGAGATTTGGAAACAAATGAATAATTGGGGTGAAATTTGAGAGAAACAGACTCTAAAATAATTATATAAATTTGTTATGTTATACTTAAATTGAATAAAAAAACCTTAAAAGCTAATAAGATGTGATAACTAGAGAGACATGTCTTTTATTTATGCAGCAACAATTGTATTGCTTTTAAAAACTACAACTGATCCTGCTAAAAATTAATGTATATATTTTGTTTTAAACTTGTCTCTGTTTAAGACTCTTTATTTATGTTTTAAAATTTTCAAATTATCAACAAAATTAATCATTAGGCCTAATTAATTGAACATTTGAACTTAAGAATAAAAAAAGAAGCCTAATCACATTATATATATAAAAACAATTGGGCCTGTTTTTTCTTCTATTTTTTTCGGGCTTAGGGTGGTCGCCCCTCTTGCCCCCCTCTCGGAACCGGCCCTGCTTGTGCTCATCGATCGACTTTGTCCCTATGCCTACGATCGAAATGGATTGACTTCTCCTCTGTGACTTCTCGTTGTGCATCACAGCCCACAGCCGCTGAGTCTCCGCCTCACGCCACTGTCGTCACTAGCTCCTCCTCCTTCACCCCCTCCTCCTCCTCCTCCCTCCTCCTTTTTCTTAGATTTTTCCGATTTCTCTCCTTTTCTTATGTTTTTCTAGGGTTTGACATTGATTTTGCCAATTTTCGAACTTCTATTTTGAATTTTCAGATTTCCAATTTCTTAGTTTTTTGTTTAAATTCTGATTTTCTAAAAGTTTGGATGATGGTTTCATATTTTGCCAAGTTCATGGCAGAAATATGTACATTGACAATTGTATTATAGCAAAAATGCTTTTGTATAAATTGATTTTTCTGATTTTTTGTCATTAGCTTTGTATTTTTAATTTTTGATTGTATTAAAGTGCTTGTTTCACTATTTGTTTTTATTTTTCAAATATTTTTTTATTGATTTCATATTTGTGCCAAGTTTATAACAATTTTGCATTAAGCTTCCAAGATAAATCTATCAACTTTATGGCATAAATGAAAAACCTTGTTCATGACAGATCGATATTATTCTGCAAGGCTAAATCTGCCAACTTAGTGACACATGTATGACGCCAAAGTTGTGGCGGCGGCTGTGGTGCTCGGACGTGGCGCAACAGCGCATCAGAGATGGCGGAGAATAGTTAATGCGGAAGATAGTGACTTGGGATGGACCCAGACCAGTCCGGCCCCGGTTGCGGTCCCAGAACCGGCCGATCCCGGTTTTTGAAATGGAAGACCGGAATCGACCCGGTTATTCCCGGACCCGGTTCCGGTCTGGTCTCCCCGGCCGGTTCTTGTCTGGTCCTTTTTTTTTGAAATTATTGGAAAAAATTTAAATTTTTGCCCGTTAGGACCGGAACAAGGACCGCCTGGTCCGGTCCCCAAAATCGAAGCTCGGGTCCGAATCCTTATTTACCCGGTCGGGTACCTGGGGAACCGGAAAACCGAACCCGGTCCGGTCCCAAACAGTACCAGACCCAGTTCCGGACTGGTATGGGACTACCAACCGGCTCCATCCTTAATGGCGACGGTGGCGGATTGCAGCTTCGGTTGGGGCAACGTCACCCGACAATGATGGATGGTGGCACCGGCGAGGAGGCATCGTACTGTATGTGGTGCCTGTGGGGGGGGGGGGGGGGGGCGTGCGGTGGCAGACAATTTCGGCTACGTCGGCGGCAATAGGTGGTGGTAACATGTCTGGTGAGGGGCGGCTTTCAAAAACTTTTGGAGTATCTTATTTGCATTGTGTACAGGTATTGTATAGTAAAAGGCCAAAGAATAATTCGCTCTGGGCTTGTTATTGGTTAATCAGCAGAAGTAACATGTCTAGGGGCTGTGAAGGGCTGTGAAGCACTAGATTGGAAAGGTGGGAGGGATAAAAGAATATTCCAGATGTGAATTATTTAGTAATTGATGCCCAAAATTGCTGTAAATCCCTAGTGACATCCCTTTCTCTGCCCATAATCACAGAAGAATGATCTGCACCTGCAATAAATTTCACTTTGGCATCTCCAGCTTTCATCTTCAACTTCTCACTGCATTCCAATGGCACCACTTGGTCCTCAGACCCATGAATAATGTTCATTTTCACCCCACAGCTTGTTAAAGCTTCCAAGTACTTATCCATCATTTTTCCTCCACCACAAATCACATTATGCATGGTGTGCCAGGCCGAATGGTGAGTATGCCGTGTCATGTCCACCAATGTGAAATGCAGATCTCTGATATGCAAAAATTCAACATTTAAGTGAAACATTTTTAGACAACTTGTAGGGCATGTAGTTCAAAAGAGAGGAAGGAATTGTTTAACACAACAGGGGATTTACGGTCCATTTGGTTGGTAAAGTGGTAAACACTAGTATTGACTTATAAACACTAGTTTTGACTTATTAGTACATTCCTATCAAAATTTCAACGCATTTGGCAACGTTGGCTTAGTCGAATTGATAGTCACAAAAAAGTACTACTTAGTAGAAAAGTTGTTTTTTCAGTTCAAACAAAGAGTAATGGTTTTTTCACCCATGTCTTTAAAATTTTACTGTGGAGTCTTCCCTTTTACAATTTTTTTTGGTGTGGAGTCTTTAAATATTTTACGCATAGATGATTAGTTCATAATGTCACATTCTCAACATATTCATTTCATAGTCATTTCAACTATTTCTATCAAAAACAAAAACCAATCAGGCGGGCTGTAAAATATCTCACCTTCCAGTTATTTTTCTCAAAATCCACTCCCAGGTTCTGTGGTTCCGGCAAATAATGAAGCATACACACCGACCGAGATGCTCATACCATGACATGAATGCTGAACCAAATAACACTGGTGGCCATATTCGTCTCGCTGCAACTTTCTCTAAGGTGGATAAACTAGCATCCTTCCCCGCATCAGCAGGGAAGTATGGCTGCAAAATGTTCCCCAGTATACAAATGGATGATATTTACTAAAGAGATCACTATAAACTAAGCAAGAATACACACAGTTATAAACAAAAAAAATGATTGCTACTCATCTAGACCCTGAACAAAGTATATCAACCCAAAAATAACCCTGAAGTATAGAAAAACTCATAATTCACTTTGGACATGGTGTGTCTGAAAGTGCCTTAGACACACCAACACAATTATCTGGGAAGAAAATTGTTAAACATGTTGCGAAGGTAAAATACACATAAAATAATCAAACTTTTGTATCGTGTGGGCAAAACTTTTTAAATACAGCTCATTCATGTACTCTGTACATAATTATGTTTGTTTTCGAGATGTCTCCATACATGGTCCGTATGTCAAACAAAATCTTAAAAAACATTCCATTGATAATATCTATCAAAAGACGCTAACATTTTTCTTTGTCAGTGGTCTTCATAAAAACTACATTTCTACTCTTACTGGTAGAGATAAGGTCTGCATGCATCTCACCTTCCCAAGACCCTACACACAAATGGCTGGGTAAAATTTTGGTTTAGTAGTTACTTATCGTGCTAAATAAAACCTTTGAAGAATTTAGGGCCATTTTTCGGGATTTGGAAGAACTTTTAATATAATCTGTAAATTCACTTACAGGCGCTATTAATGTGATTGATTTCACAGACTGTGCATGCTTTGCTCCTAATGCTAGAGCTATCACACATCCCATGGAGTGAGCAACCAGGTGAAAAGATTTCAACTTAAATGGAATAATAACTGTTTTCTCAATCATTTCTAAATGGTCCCTCATAGTATAAAAACAATCCCTTGGCTTTGGGCTTTGTCCAAATCCCAGTAGGTCCACTGCAAACAATCTGTACTTTTGCATTGAATTATCAGACAGATAGGGAAATACTGTTTGTGTCCAAAACGATGACGATCCCATGAAGCCGTGCAAAAATATTATGTTTTCTGTAGTCTTACCATTGGGATCCTCCAACTTACCTGCGTAAGCACTACTATCTTAATAAGCAAATCTCCAGTAATAACAAAGCCATAACTGAGTCATGTGCCAGATCTTAAGGAAATTAGCAGTAGACAGAAAACTGAGAATAAACTGTGACAAGAATCTGATTTATAAAAAACTCAGCTAAATTTGAAATTAGACATTTGATGACAGAAATTTACTCCGTATAATTGAAAGTAGCTGCTAGGTCACACAACAATAGTACACTAGTATTGTTATTGCTACCATCACCGTCTGTAGAGCATAATAGTTTCACACAATCTACAGTGTCCTTCGTTAACTTTGCTCCTAATTCATTTCACAATTTTATCCCAAATAAAACTGAATAATTTGCTCCCCAATTTGGACAATTAAACTGATCAAGCATATTATTAGAGATGCTCTTCATAATTGAACAGAACTTGCGAGTTTGGCTTTCAATATAGGCATGAACGTAACAAGGAGCGAACATTCAGTAGGAAGCCACAGATGAATGTGTATACCTGCAGATGCAGATGGTTCTCGGACAACTAAATGGAGCCTCAAATAAGAGATTCCGCCATTCTCGCCTTTCTTCATCCAAGCAATGCAAGGCTCGCATCCACAGTCAGACCACCTGTTCCCTCTTCCTTTTCCACTCCCCACACATTCGCGACTCCGGCCTCCACCCGCCCCGTTCGCGAGCACGGCCATTCGCCGAAAAACGTTTTTCCTCCGGTAGAGTGTGACAGACATCTCGCTTTCACCGTCCACCGCCATTTTCAGGGAGCTCTGTACTTCACCAGGTGAGCAGCAGTAGCATGGGGAAGAGTAAGTTTCTTCGAGGAAGGAATCGATGAATCGGTATGCTAGGCAGAGGAGAACGTCAAGGAAATCGAGAAAACAGAAAACGGGAAAGCTGAGCAGAGAGATGAGAGAGTGTGAAAGGAACTTGGGCTTCATTTCTTAATGAAGAAAGAAATGAAGTGAAGAAAGGGAGATGGAGGGAATTTTGATGAAGTGAAAGAAGGTCCATTTCTTACTAAGTGGATGGATTAAGAAGGCCATACGTGTTCGCCCGTTGAAGATTTTCTCATATACGGTATAGTTTTTTTCAAATAAATAAAAGTGTAAAATTGCTATTAAATGAAGTTTCCATGGATTTGAAGGCTAAAATGCAAGAGGTTTGAGTGTTTGACGAGCTCCGAGTCGGACAGAGAATTTTCAATACAATATCACATATTCTATAGAATTTCATTCAATTTCATTAAAAATCTCAACCATTTAAAATTCTTTAAAATCCTAAATGAGGACAACCCTTAATGTAACCATTACAAGACCAATTTTCCCTTTCTAATTCTTTAATTAAAATTGCCATTAAAGCGAGTTCTACGTGCCATCCATTAGTTTGCTTTTCACGTGACAAACGGTTGTTTTATAGTGTTATTACATTTTCATACGTGCTCAGATTTTTACAAAAATGTATTAAATTAAATATTCTATTATTATTATTATTATATTAATATATATAGTATGACATCAATATTGTACATGTAAAACTGTAGAAATTTAGTCTTGTATAGTAAATGTATGGTGCATGTACATTTACATTGTCAGTGTCAGGTTTGATCAAGTCTAGTAGGTTTAAAGTTGGTCTCGTATAAGTTTGAGTTCTCACATTAACCTCCATGTATAATGATAGGTGTGAAAACACCTAATACTTTCTCATAAAATGTGGTCTTTGTTTGTTCACTTTTGATGTTCTTGCTCCTTGTTTAGTTTTAGTTGTGCGATATTTTTGTTGTAGGAACCACGATGAGGATTTGAGCAATGTAAGGGTGAAAACCTAACATTTTGAATAATCTCGGGAGCATAAATTGATGATTTGAAGACCCCGGGAACCAAACAGAGCACAAGGAAGCAAGAAATGAAGATGTTAGAGGTGTTTTGGTGGAAGCGGCTTGAGGAACGCCACAAGGAATGACACCCTCGGCGTTCCCCCATTTTGTTCCACTGGATTTCCAATTTAATGTCCCAGCTGTGGGAACGCCGCCCCTACAAGCACTCCGACAAGAACGATGTCCATACTCCACTCCTCACATCATCGAACTCTCTGCCAACCGTCTGTTTTTTATATGTAAAGGTGTAATACCGCAGGGTAACACCGCTCACTCCAGCATTCCCTCCGGTGTTCCTCTTCAAGGTAAGTTGTTCCCTCCCGACGTTCCCTCATTTCCCTTTGTATAAATAGCACCTCTAGTTCGGTTTTTCATAGTTTTTGGACGAGTTTTCTTCTTGCAAACCCTAGTTTTGGTTGTAAACTTCTTTGCATCAAATCTTGAATCTAGTTTCATTTAATCCATTACATTGCATTGTTGTGATAATTTCTATCAACTTATCATTTTGTCTCTCTTCTTGCTCATGTCTTGCATATGCTTTATGGATGTGAAATCTAGCATGAGTGAGTAGTGGAATAAGGGATTGGGGGTGTTTGAGGACCATCCAACCATGCGATGTGGTAGGTTTTGGGGTTGAATTTGGGGGAATTTGAGAAATATATTATGCACACAATGTGTTTGTGAAAATGTCTCTTTGTATTTCTAAGACTTTGATAGCCACAATATTTTTAGATGTTGTTTGGGATCCTCTAGGAGACTTGTAGGGTTTCTTTTGACACATTCACACACACTACTTCCTTTCCATGAGAATGGGAGAAGGTAAGGGAAAAAAGTTTTGGTTGCTCTTCTTTGCATGACTTTGGATTTCTATTGGACCATGAGAGTGGCCAATAGGAGCCATTAGTACCCCTTGACCTTGAGAGTGGCAAGGGAACTTGTACATATCCCTTTGTTGCATGATATGTTTCCAAGTATTCCCATTTTGACCCCTTATCCTTAATCATAGGTTGTTCCTTGTATGTCCCCAATTTTCTTCACTACTAGAGAATGGACTTTTCACGTCGGTTTGTATGTGACGTTTAAGTAGGAGACGTTATAAGTACAAACATTTTACGTCGGTTCTAAAACCGATGTGAAAGGTGTATTTTCGAAAAAAAAAATAATATACCACGTCAGTTCTTACACAAAATCGACGTCAAAAGTGTATTTTTCGAAAAATAAAATAAATATACCACGTCAGTTCTTACAAAAAACCGACGTCAAAAGTGTTTTTAATATATATATATATATATATATATATATATATATATATATATATATATATATATATATATATATATAGGGGATGGTTCAAATACAAAGACCTCTTCCCATGCAAAGTGAGAATAAATCTTGTGCATTGATTTCCACATCTAATGGCTCAAAATGAGCCAAAAATGCACAAAATTCGACCAAAATCTCGGTGGCAATTTCGTAAATATGTTGCACTTTTTCGCTACCGCGAAAAAGTGCAACCGAAACACGCAAAAGTGCAAGCAAACCATGCAAAAGTGCATTTCTTCTCACTTTGCACGGGAAGAGGTCTTTTTATTTGAACTCTTCCCTATATATATATATATATATATATATATATATATATATATATATATGGATGTACATAAATTTAAATTACACTAAATGCATCAACATAAAAGAGTATATAAACACACGCAACCACAGGAGATTATTATAATTAAAACACTACCCAATTTTAGAGATGGTGAAACATGTATATGTACATCCATCTAACAAGTTAACACATTAAAAAAGTAAAAGTAAAAGAAGCAAAGCAAGACATAGAGCCATATTGAGTCATGTCGTGGATAGCTTAAATCCAATTTCTCTTCGATATGAAGGCAATCCAAATCCAATTTCTCGCTGATATGAAGGAAATCCTCGGTTTAACGTTCTCTAACTGGAGGCCCAATTGAAATTCAGAGAAGTGTGTTTACATAAAAACACATTTTTGAGTATAAAGGGTTTCATTTTTTAGAAAGTCAATAAAAGTAGTATTTTACCTCATTCTGGCGGGTGTAAATCACCTAAGTAGCACATCGAGATGCACCACAGTAGGTGATCGAGTATATATCTAGAGAGAAGTGAGAGCTAGAGAGAGAAGTGCAAGTAAATGCTTCAATAACTGATTTTTGTGAACCCCTACAACTATCTCCAGAGGAAGTATTTATAGGGAAAATACGGGCTGGGCTCCCAAGCCTTGGGCTTGGGAGGCCCATTTACAACTGGACCGCTATTGGGCCGAATACAATGTGTGTAGAAATGATTAAGTGTGAAGTCTAGTTCTGTGAGGCTTCCGTGGCCGACGAGGGTCTGGCCGACGATGGCACGACCGACGGGGGCACCCAAGTTCCCTGGCTTCAGGATCATATTCTGAGTTGGTCCCTCTTCGGCCGACGGGGGTCCTTTGGCCGACGAGGGCACCGCTTGGTGGCTTGTGCTTTCTGTTCTTCTGAGTATGTGGGTCCTGGGGCCTAGACCCATATACTCCATCAGGAGTCCCCCACTCTCTAAGCTGAGATGTAGACGAAGTGAAGGAGAGTAGATTTCTGTGCTTGATGCTCTTGGCCGACGTGGGACCACCCTGGCCGTTCTCTATCATGGCGTTGGTGGTCCTGTTCTGGATTTGGCCGTTACCTGCCCCTTGATATGGACGGGGAAGGCTGTCATTCCTTTGGTGCATTTGTTTGTGGACGATGAGTGTTCTGGGCTTCTTGGCCGCGGAAGGTAGTGTCTATTCTTGATCGTTTATGGTTGAACTTTCCTTTTGGGCCGATAAGGCCGTTGAGGTTGCGTCTTGCTTTGAGGACGATGAGCGTCCTTTGTTCTGGATGGACGGTAAGGGTGCTATGCACTCCTTTTGGCCGTCGTCAGTGACGCCATGTGCCTTTGGTTGACGAGGCGCCGTGTTGCCCATGGTTTTGGGGATGATAGAAGTGTATGGCCGGAGATGGAGTTATAAAGACCTTGGAACCGTTATGGTACATGGACGATGTGGCCGCATTTGTAGTTGCAATTGTGTACTTTGTGCATTTTTGTTTCTCATTTTGCTTGCCATTCTTGAGGCCGGTGTAGTCCCCCAGCTCCCCACTGCTTCAGGCCGAGGAGTCTTTGAGGGATGAAGGAGTAGCTTGAAACCTAGGCCGAAGCAGGATCCTCATACTGCCCTTGGATCCAACCCTTTGGCGATTTCCTGACCAAGGTAACCCTGTGGGAGAACCCTTGGACGCAGATCGCTTTCAAAGGGTTATCATCAAGGGTTTAGTGCGAGGGCCTAATGGCCATTGGGTTCCTTTCCCTTGGGGTGTTGTGGCCATTGTAAGGCCTTTCTTTACATAATATGTATGGCCGCTTAAATTGCCGATACGGGTGCAACCTGGGTAGCCGTTGCCTGTGTTGGCCGTTGTGGGTGCTATTTTCCCTTCCTTGCTCCGTAGAGCCTGCTTTGCTGGTGGGCCGTTGATCTGTGGAGGGGGCTTGGCCCGTTGACAAAGTGGTGGTATCCCATTGGTGGCCATTGGTGTGGCCACTAGGGTGGTGCCACGTGTAGTTACCGTTGGGGGGGGGGGGGGCTATAAATACCCCTCCTATTCCGAAGAAAGCCTTCATTTGCATCCTGAGCAAACGAAGTGCTGCCCAAAATTCTAGAGAGATAAAGCCTTTTGCGAGTGTTCTTCACCTCCTTCAAAACTTCAAGGTCAGTTCCTTAACTTTTCTTCGACTTCTTACATATTTTGCTCCCTCTAGACTTTGATCTAGTGTTAGTCACAAAAACACCTTAGATCTAAAGTAGATCCCCTTAGTGCCTTAGGAGTTGTTAAGATGAAAACCCTGAATGAGGAGTATTATCCATATGACGACGAGCCCTCCGTCAAGTCTCTTGACTACGACGTGATTGAAGAGTGTGCCGAGGAGATTGAACACTTGAGCCCGTATAAGTCTGGAGATCATGTGGACGAGGAGGGCGAGGACGAAGGGTCCGCCTCGTCATCTGAGGGTGAGGACGTAGGGGTCTCCCGCATAATAGACGGGGCGTCTGCCTCTACTACCATTCTGTGCCCGAAGCCGGTGTCTACTGTGAAGGGGGCATCGCGGCCAAAGAGGAACAGGCGGCCGAAGAAGGGCCCGA